GGGCAAAGCGGAACTTAATTGTTCCTCTACTAGATCGGCGAAACACATACATGTATCAGCGAGAGGTATTTATTTAGATGCTTAAGCTGCAAGCGGTAGAAGTCCTTGCGCTCCAGGTGCATGTTTTTGAACAGTAGATTGAGCTTGAGTATACTGACAAATACGTGCCTTGCGTTTATCGTCGAGAAGACTATGAAGGGGACAACATCTGTCTTGGCCTGTCCCATGTTTCAGTGCTATCCTGATACGTCATACGCAGAAATGTTTGCCCCAACTTCTTGCTGGGGGAAGCTGGGACTGTTAGAGCTCTGGGCATGGAAGTGCAAGTAGACGGGAAGATGATAGCTTTTCCCAAAAACAAACGTTGCCGAAGAAAAAGACACGAGTGGTTGTTGAGTGCGTATTATATGTCCCAGAGGAGGGCGATTTGTAAACAAGTCAGTGATCGCTCCTTATGTACTCTAAGGAGGCGTGTGGCAACGGTAAGCATTCTTATAGCAGATGCCTGGAAATGTTCAGCAGCTTGCTGAAGCTGGAGTCCGGTTACTTCACCGTTAACCATTCCAAAAATCTCGTTAATCCGGAAACCGGGAAGGACATTAATGATATTGAAGCATATTGGAGTTACCTAAGAGGAGGGCTTCAGCGATGTGGGTTTGTCTCCGGACGAACGATCTGGTCACACATAGAGGTAGTGCAATATCGTCTGTGATTCGGCTTCCGAAAGTACGCAATACCTGCGGTATGAGACATTTTCTGTAGGCACTAACTTCACCACTTAGGTAAGGATAGTGGACACGTGGGAATTTTTTCATTGCCTTGATTTATGTTTATCATTTTCTTCTAGAAATTGCCACATATGGCTTATAAAGGACAAATCGCCGATAAATGTGAAAGACTCTGTCCGCCATCCCTACTGCTATTAAATTTTTTTACTGTATATCTGGCTGCTCACGAATAACGCCAATGGGCATCTTGTAATTGTTAACCTTACTGCTCACTTTGTTTTGATAGGGCTGTCTAGGCTATTAAGAGATAAAAAAGCATTCATCCAAATTTAAAATTGATTACATGCTATCATAAACTTAACGTTAATATAACATACATTGTAGCTGGCCGAAGCTGCCTATAAATCATAGATTAACTCTGCACTGCTGATCGAAATTGATTAAAGTTTTTGAGCAAATTCCTTAAAATCAATTACTTTACCTACGTAGTGACCAAAATATTGGTTAGTATGGCCAATTGACATCGTTCTACTTTCGCTGGGAGATACTCATGTCTCCACAGACTGCTGTACTAAGTATGAAAAAATGTTCGTAAATTTGAGTTTTATTTAAAGTAGCACGTAGTTATGGGCACCATTAGGAGAAAATGATTCGCTTTATTGCGGGAATAAGGCTTTCGCCCTTGAGCCCCCTAAAGATTGGGGGAACGTGACTTGAACCCGGTCCGTCGTACCAACGAGCTTGTGGGTT